TAACAAAAATATGGAAATAATAACCTAACTTCGCCGTCTTGCTTTTGGTTTATCTGTAATAGGGAAGCTTTCTTGCTAGATTGTGCCGCACTAAGATTGTGTCGAGACTTTGGGAGTCGTGACTTGGGAAGGCTCATTTCATGCACCCCATAGTAAGGTCACTGTGTTAAATGAATTCAATAGTGTAACAATAGAAAGTATTTAATATTGTGAACGTGGACAAAACGAAAATCATCTATAACGTCCATGTTACACCAATGCCAGCATTTGTTGGGAGCACCACAAGTATATTTACCTAGGACAAATTGCCCGACCAGATAAGTCCAACTTCGACCGAGAGGTCAATAGAATAATCCAATACTGTTGGGCAGCGTTCGGGAGATTACGGCACATATTATCGTCACGTAGGTATAAGGCCCGCCACATACGGGATTCCGTTTCGATATTCCGATTCGGAATTCCAAACGCAGCAAGTCCATATAAAAAAACAGGATTCCGTATGTGTGTGTGGCTAACCCGTTCGGAATTCCGAAACGGAATCCCAAAACGGAGTTCCGTATGTATGTGGCGGGCCTAAATGTGGTAACGACTTGATAAGAGATACAGGTAGTCCATGGCTTTAGACCGTGCTTTGTGACATGTTTTGATTGTAAGAATTTAATAAATATAAATAGATAAATAGTGTAGTGACGAGCGCTAGAAGTTAAACATAACTAAATATTTAAAGATCAGTAAGTTTTACAGTAAGCGGTACCGCGACCTTGTAGCATTAGGTCAATGTAACTTACGCCGTCCTATGGCATGGCTCGCCAATCAGTGTAGTACAACAAACTAGATATTTGTTTACTTTCATTTTTTGACCTTTTAATGTGTGATAGAAGAAATGAGTTTGCATGTTCATTTTCAACCGACATCAACAAAGGAGGAGGTAGTTTTTGAGTTAATAGATTGAATTAATGATGTTCTCATTTTATTTATACCTACTGAAGTCAGTTGTACCTACAAACATTTTAATTTTACCACTTGTTCTTGTTTGGCTTGGGGTTATCATCGTTTGCAATTGATGACAGTATATAAGACGGAATAGAGGAAAACAATTAATACAGAACATTATTATATACGTGGTAGGACCATGCTGCAGCTATATTAGTAGTATAGTTGTGGCACGAATGGGTCGGCTCGACCGGGGAAGGACCACGCTTTCACAGAATACTAGCGTCAAATAGTAGCTTAACACTACTGTGTTTCGAATGGTGAGTGTAGAGAACCGGAGACCCTTTTTGCTGGAAACGAGGCATTCCATCTTAGTCCTCACGGGTGGCAACGCATCTGCATTTTGACTCTTTATTGAGGACTAGCTGTGCCCGCGGCGTAGCTCGCGTATACAGGTTTTACATAAAGAATTTGTCGTTTAGGTAAGAGAATATTAAACGATTTATTTCATTACTGTATCAATAAGTGGTAACTAAATAAATCATTATCATCAAAGTTCTAAGTCGTTTATGATAGAGCTTCTGTATAAACAACGTTAGAAGGAGGCTTAGCCGGGGTGTACACAAAAAGGTTACGGGGGCTACTAACGCGGGAAAAAGCAACATAGAGTTGGCCATGTGCAAAACAGGCAGTACTGAGGTACACTCCTACAACGCGTAAAGTTTGACCTTGCGCTTTATTTACGGTCATCGCATAACACACGCTCACTGTAACTGGGAACTGAACGCACTTAAAACTGAAAGGAAAGTTACTTCTTAATAGAGGGTTTTTGGGCAGTGCTGCCAGATAAAAAAAAACTCATTCAGCTCTAGGACAACACAAAAAGCGCTAGATTTCATGAAAACAGCGCTTTAAAAAAGCCCTAGATTTCGCGCGAAATTAACTACAAACAAAGCTTGTGTTTTTTTTATATAATCATAATAAAGAAAACAACATTAAGTTTTTTTTTCTGGCAATATTTTTTTGATGTATCAATACTTCGCAGGACATCGACTTATAATTATGGCAATTGCTGTCAACAGTAGTTAGTACTGTACGAACAATAAAAATGTCATTAATTGTTTTAAAGTGCAATGTATTTCGCAACTTAGTTTCAGATGTCAACATCTGATTGCGGTTGCTACACAGTTTCTTTGTGTTATAACTTCTAAGTAACTTTTAACTTAGCTGTGCTCTAAGCAACTGACTGAAACTGAATAAAGCAAAATAAATGCGTTGCCAAAACCATGAATGAAAACTTTAATAAAGGGGATTTCCCCGCTTATAGTCGTCGGTAAAAAAAATCAAGTTGATCATCCTAAAGGGGAAGCCAGGAGATCCATAGCACAGGGTATCCTAGTTTGGACTCGTCTCCCATGCTCTTTGTTTTGTGGAAAAAATATGTTTGAAAAAGATAAACTGCAATGTACTATTTGTGGGAAAAAATAATAAAGGTCATTATTATTATTATCGGTAATGTGGACTAACAGTGCTACTATAAAAGAGTTCATAACCCGCTAGTCGCTAAAATATTGAAATGTGTGATAAATACACCAAAAAGCGCTGGATTAAGCTAGGTGCTAAAATTTCGAAATGCGCGCTATACATTCCAAAAAAGCGCTAAATCTAGTTCCCAAAGCGCTAAAATGGCAGTACTGATTTTGCGTATATTATAAATACAATATCACGACATTTCGTTGCAAAATTTTTATTTTTGGTGGGGTTCCGTTGTACGGCTTCGATGGATACAAATTTCTTCAGTAAGTTTCAATAAGATTCATCGGCGAAAAATCTCAACACAGCAATTCAGAAAAGTTTGTAATTTGTACAACTCCATCTATTACGTCCTTTGTGTGAGAAAACATCCTTTTTAAATCTCTTTATGTGTTTTAAGTATAAATATATTAATTATTATGGAACGTTTTTTTTACACACAAATCTTTTTATTACTATTTCTGAGATTTTATGGCGCCATTGAACAAATTCGAACCTACATTTCAAAATAATAATCATTACTTTCGATAGAATTAACCAATTTTAATAAAACAAAGATTAAATGTAACTCGAAGATACGCTTTATGATTTTCTTAACGATTTCTTTGAAAATAAAAGATGTTTACTTTAGACGTGATGCGTTCATATAATAACAGACAAATAGACATACAGACAATTCTAAAAAATATAAAATGTTCTTATTTAATTATTTTCAGTTCCCCATAATGATTTTAGCCACCAAAATATATATACAATGTACAGAAAGAGACACAACATGTTATCATCATTTTTATTATATGTATATATTTAAAGAGAGATGGCGCTGCTAACATCAATTCTAAAAATAAAAGAGATTAATTGACGCGATTGATACATTATATAAGACGCAAGAGAACTTATAAATCAGTGCCTGCACAGTAAGCAAAAAATAAAGTTTGACTCTGCCAAAACCAACGCAATTGTTAATAGCTCTTTTAAAAACACGCAGTAGGGCAGCGAGTAATATAATAAAGATTAGCAGTAAATATGAAAACTCATCTACAGGAAAAAACCACATTGCAATTGCATTACATTTTCACAACACCACCATCTATCGAAGAAATGGGTTAACTATTGTGCTTCAGATTTAGTTAATAAGGTTAATATATTTTTGTATAATATATTTAATACTTTTGTTTACTGCGTTTTAGATATACATAATTATATCATTATTTTACATAATTTAACTATGATTTATGATATGATATTAGTTTAAAATGCACTTGATGACTCAAACAAAGCCAATGTTGAGCAAATTCGTACCTATACTTCCCTACCCATACTTCAGAATATTTATCATAACTTTTGATGGAATGAACTGATTTTAATGAAATAAAGACTAAATGTAACCCGAAGATACACTTTATAATTTCCTTAACAATTCTTATGATATAAATTAGTACTTTATACGTGATACGTTAACAAACAAACAGACAGACAGACAGACAGACAGACAGACAGAAAATTCTAAAAATGGTAGAAATGTATTTAATTACTTATTTTTAGTACCCCTCAATCACTTTTATTACAAAAATATAAAATGTACAGACATCTGCTATTTACAGTTTTATTATATGTATAGATAGATGTAAATGTCTATGGGCCGCAGCAACCATTTACCACCAGGCGGACTGTGCTCGTTTGTCACCCTACTATAAAAAAAAGTAAACACTTCATGTATGCTTTATTCTAATTGTGGAATGCTTCACTGATTCATATTATAAGTATCTACAATTACTTAAGTATTATAAATACTTATAACATAATTCGTTTACTGTTTGTATCTCAAGAAATTGTAATAGGTAAATACTGCAGATAAAGGCCTACTATGCAGTCATCACAAGTAGTTTCTTAATAACTTAATTTGCGTTTGGTCTATGATTTAGCTGACTCCCTTGGGCCTATAATTGCGACGAATGTTTCCTGATTGTCATACGAAATCCACTTTTCATCACAAGTTCACCCTTTCATTCAGAATCTCCTCGCTTCTGTGACGATTCAACAAATTTACTCAAGCTTGGTGTAATAATAGTATAGATGGTTTCTCATTCCTAAACTGCAATATATAAAATCACCAACTAGTTGCAAATTATAGTTGGTACAATTATTAAGAATTTAAGGAAAAATGTTGTACGTCCATAAATTCCAGGCATTTTAGGGAAATTTTGACGGAGTACTACCGTTTCTCCGTCATAGTCGTAAGAGCCAACAACTATTGTTATAGAGGAAATACCTTAAAATCAAGCATTCCATAGTTACTGAAGTGTAAATATATATGGCCACGTGCAAAAAGACAACGAGCTGGCTTAATCGCAAGATATATAAAACCAACAGTATATATGTATATACCTAATGTTGTACGTTCTTTGAATAAATATTTTTAAACGCTAAAATTTTAACAAAACTTTTAGGCAAATTTTTATTTTCAACTGGATATAATTTTAAATTAATTTATATGTATGTAGATAAATATTAATTAAAGTGTTCTTTATCAGGTGCCGGAAATTTTATACTACGGAAGGGCTTGTTCAGGTGACGCTGGCGATAGATATTTCGAAGCCCCAGGGGCTTTTGCGCCCCCACTTGAAGGATACCTAATGTGTAGAACCGACAAGAGCAAACGATTTGAACCCAGCTATTTTTTACTCAGGTGAGACCTTTGCTTCCATGTCTTTGCAGTAGCACTAAGAATCAGTTAAGAAAATTAATAAGCTATAAAATATTTTTGAACATGTCGTTATTAAAATGCACTAAAATTAAGAAAATAAACCTGAGAGATAATTTAAGTGTCTGACTAACTTAACCGAGGCTGAAAACGGTCTGACTACTTGATGGACTTACCACTAGCCTAGCGGTGAAGGAAAAGTTAAGGAAACCTTCATGTCTAAGGATAAAAATATTTGAAAGACTGGAGCAGTGCGGCGGACTAATTACTCTATAATCTTTTCAAAAATGAAAGTAGACCTGTGCCCAGCTGTAGGAAGTAACTTTATTTCTGACTTTGTTATTTGCTGGGTGTTTTGTATACAGAAAAATCGCATGATCGCCGTTTAGTAATAGAATCAACTACTCCATATCATATTATTAGCCCACATAGGGAAACTGAAACACCATTAGCATCTTCTTGATGACGTTTCAAAATTATGACAAATATCGCTCCCTGTGTACGATATAATCGACATAAACGTTTTCCATACGTGATGTGCTCTGCCGAACTAATCTCAGAAATTATTAAAACTATTGTTTATATAATACATAATATATCCATAGATATAGATATGTGAGTTTTATTTTATTAAAATATTTAAAACAATACTTGATAAAAGTTCATTGACTACAATAACAATCTCAGTTCACTGCAACTAGAATCTTAATAATATATCATAACATTATTGTGTTCTTTACTACCTACATCATGAGATAACAACTCGCTATTATTTTTACAACTTTCTTGATTAAAATTTCAATTTAGCCAATCACTAAAAAATATGAATTTGAAAGTTATTGAAAGGAGTTACATCGATATGCTTGTATAAGGACTAGCTTCGTTATCACATTTATTTATTTTATGTTAAAGCTGTTTCATGCTTTTGTCAACTACGTAGCGTAGTGGTCAGAGAAACAGGTTTACGTGTCAGCATCGAAAAAAGAACCTGTGCGAGGTTATGTTTTCGAATTCTGACTGGAGCTAAAATTTGTAGTAAACACAAATTGATTTCTTTCATAGTTGTGTATGTTCCTCTTCGTGTTCCACAATATATCCTTTTATTATTTGAGGGCGTTACATCGGTCGCGTTTAGGTTGAGTCATGAAGATTAAGTGGTAGTTAGTACTCTACATTTATGCAATATATTATATACGCATTACGCAGCGTATTAGACAACTTCCGACAGTATACGAAGTTTTCGTCTTTTAAATATATTTTTTTGAAATATGAAAAAGGTTTTTTTTTATAAATGAATAATAAACTTCGTAGTGATGAATTATAATTTTGTACGAGGTAGAGCCATACTGCAGCTATATTCTTAATAGTATAGTTGCAGCACGAATGGGTTGGCTCGACCGGGGAAGGACCACGCTCTCACAGAATACCAGCGTCAAATAGCAGCTTAATGCTGCTGTGTTTCGTGTAGTGAGTGTAGAGAACTGGAGACCCTTTTTACTGGAAACGAGGCATTCCATCTTAGTCTTCACGGGTGACAAGGCATCTGCATTTTGGTTCTTTATTGAGGATAGATGTATGTCTATGCGTCACAGCCACCACTTACCATCAGGTGGACAGTGTGCTCGTTTGTTATCCTATCCTATAAATAAATGAAAAATCATCAACCTGACACACGGGACACAAACCTCTTCTAAGTTTTGCCGTAATAGTCACGCTTCGTAGTCGATTTAGCGATTGCAGTTGCAAATGCTTAACGCCTTTGTCTCTTACTTCCCATAAGCAATTCATGTAACGAAATGCGTGGTAGATTTTTAAGACACGCAAACAAACAAACATTTTGGTTTAATTTTTTTGGAAGATACAAAAACAGAACGTATTTTTAGGGCTGGAGTACTTCACTGGGGGGCCCATTCGCCGGACGGCACAATCCCCCTCCCAAACCACATCTCTCTCCGTTCAGTAGTGGGTGTGAGGCGGCACTTGGACGCGTCCCGAAGGCCGCACTGCTTCGAGATTGCGCTCGGTGACTCCAGTAGACTGCTGCTGGCGGCTCCCGATGATCCTACGGCATCCTCCTGGCTGCAGTCACTTTTGCTGCATGCTGCGCAGGTATGTTATAAAAAAAGCTATTTATAACTGTGATTTAAAATTCCATGTACCTAAATATTTGCTTTACACGAACTCAATACTGCACACAGTGTCCGGTCCGGACCTTATTACATTAACTTTGTATCTTTGCTTGTTCTGCGTGGTGGACATTTCCGACAGCATTTAGAAATTAGACCGCGGTAGTTCACAGTACGCGAACAAACTGGAGTCAATCCTCGCCGGCACTAATCTTCTTTTTCTTATCTTCTTTTTTTTAATCTTTCTTTAAAAAACGTTCCCCCACACTAGGATTTTCTCATGTATCGTGGAGGCAGTTTACAAACATAAATTGCACGTGGACAAACATCCAGACCCAGAACAATTATTTGTAGGCCATAAAAATACTTGTTCCGTGCTGGATTCGAACCCGCGGCCCCCAGCGCAACAACTATTGCTAAGCCACTGCGCTACGGAGCCGTCAAAACTAATGACTTTTTTAAAGATTAAGGGTGAAAAACGAGCACACAGTTCATCTGATGGTAAGCGGATGAGTGTCCTATAGACAACTACATTTATCCTCGATTAAGAATCAAAATGTTGTTTTGCCTCGTTTCCAGTAAAAAAACGTCCCCGGTTCTCTACAGTACTTTGTGAGAGCGTGGTCCTTCCCTGGTCGAGCCGACCCACTCGTGCTACAACCATAATATTTTTTTTAAAACGTAACCTCTAAGATTTTCTCCTGCATCCTGAGAGCAGTTTACATACATGAATTTCACAAGGACTAAGATCCACACCCGGAACAATAATTAGTAGGCCATACAAATACTTGTTTCGTGCGGGATTCAACCCGCGGCCCCCCGCGCAACAACTCGTTGCTAAGCCATTGTGCCACTGAACCGTCGTAATATAGCTGCAGCGTTGCTCTACCACGTACAGTAATTGCTAAATGATATCTTTACTGCTGATTTACCACGTACTCGGTGGTGAAGTAAAACGTCAAAAGCATTTGAACACCGCCTATACGCACTGAAGCAGCGCGACGGATTTATTTCTCCTTAACTCTATAAGAAATATGGGGACAACCATTCTGTTCCCAACTGTAGAGCTTACTTTTGTTTAGAAATCACGATGATTTAAATTGTCTAGTAGAACATGGTAGTAAAAAAATCTGAAAAACGGTTGACTCTGAAAGCCATCTCTGGAACTTCCCGCTTATACGAGTATGTATTTAATTTTTGTTTTTTTGGTTTTTTTTTTGGAAAATTTTTGAAACAACTAGATCGGTTGACTTGAAAATCTAATCAGCTCGAAATCTTAATGAACACCTTCGAACGCCGGTGCCGTCCATCTCACATACACACGTGCGCGCACGCGCGCACGCACACGGACACGCAAGCACGCACGTACTCACGCACGCACGCACGCACGTACGCACGCACGCAAGCTAGCACGCATTTTCTCACTCACTCACACACACACATACACACACGCGCACCCACACACACACACACACACACACACACACACACACACACACACCCACACACCACACACACACCACGGCTACCTACCTCGTAATACGTCATAATTATCTAAATGGGGGAGTAACCATCCCGTAAACATATTCAGCATAATTGTTAATGACAGCTTACTATTACTAATAATTATCTCTATTGCCCTTTAGTGAAAAGAGAAAGAGCAACTTATTTGGTGCCTGTATCTCGTATTGGATACATGTTGCTCACATATAATAAACAATAATGCTTTGTCCTCTAAAAAGTTACGAATTTCCAGGTAACGGTATTTACCATACAAGGACTCGTTGCCACTTAAAATCTGGACGTAAATTGGCACTATAATTATAAAAAATAAATTAGAATAAGGTTGAATCCAGTTCTTAGGCTGTAAATTTTAATTGGGTCTCAAGTGAATATGTTTACATTATTACTTGCAGGCTTTAGAAGAAAAAGATGGAGCGAAAAAAGTGGACCCTCGTGCAGGCGGGCCACCACCAGCGTGTACTGTGCTGGTGACACCTCACGAGGTCCTCAGTGTGCGTGACAGTTTGGACTTTGCCTTCGTGGCTGGAGCTGCCGCTTACCTCAAAGACAGAGGTTCCGATGCATTACTAAAAGGTGACTATTAAATACAACATTTAATAATTAATCTTAGATTTTAACCACGTTTTTATTTAGTCACTTTTTTGTTTATCTGTCTGTCTGTCGTTCCGGGTGGAATCTTGCAAATCAAATTTCTCTTTAAAACTTCCCGATTAATGTAGAAATTACATTATGGAAAATGAACATATAGCACATTTAAGGAAGTATTCGCTATCAAAAGCGATTGTACCTTATTGATAAAGATCTATGTACTGTACTGTCTATAAAGAAGAAAACTAAAGCAGTATAGTGTAGCGTCATGTGCTAATGACCCAAGAGAACCCATCGCTACATTTTGTACCGTGGGTATCGTAAGAGGCAAATATAGGATATGCTAAAAAGATGTTATAGTTTTCGATAGATGTTGGTATAATTACCTCGTTATCCGTTACAGCCTATTAAAGTCCACTGCTGAACATAGGCCTTCCACATAAGGGTGATATTAGCCATAGTTGCCACACTTGGCAAGTGGGTTGGCAACCGCAGTTTTTTTTGTCGTTATTAGGAAGATGCTGCTGCTCATCTCCTGATTGGTTTCCCTCTGTCGCCTCTTAGGACACCCACGGGATGATATGGGATAGTGGATATTCTTACACCGCCATACTTGGTAAAAGCCACCTCCTTAACGCCAGTCTTACAATAACCAGACTGTTGATGGAAATAGCGTCATAGATGCCAAACATCTGCTACTGCGATCCTCAATTCGTTTACTAACGAGACAATTAAGGAAAATACTTCCTACAACGGGAAAAGCCCATTCCAACAGTGGCATTTTACTGCCGAAAATGCGGTTTAATACAGGTTTTAAAAACAAATAAAGTGTAAGTAAATATATCGTTCGGTAATCGGTTTTTATAAAGTTCAATAGTTACTTTAAATTATACATACATAAGTGTGATAATAACTCGCATTGTTATCAACGAGTTATTTGTGAAAGTATAACATAATAAGAAAAATATATTTAGTATGTTGTTGTCGTGATAAGAAAATGTCACTTTATCTCTTATTTAATGTTGCTAGAAAAATACAAGGTTTGTTTATTAACTTTTTACTTTTAACAACACAATCCATCCTAATTCTCACGGATGACAACGTACCTACATTTTGATTCTTAATCGAGGATAGATGTCTATGAGTTACAGCATAATCCACTCATCCACTGATCATCAGGTGGACTGTGTGCCTGCTTGTCACCTTATTCTAAAAGTAAATGTAACAAAATGTATATTTACATACAAATCTGTTTCTATTATACAAGATGTAAAATGTGCTAAATGATTTGTATAATAAACCACTAAATGTCCACGCCATGATTGTATGAGGTCATTTACTAAGCCGTCTCTCCCTCTCCTTTGGTGAATATCACAAAATCTAATAAATAGAATAACTCAAGCGGAAAATATGTTGTAACCACACAGTGCATAATATCCTAATTTGCATAAGTATTAAGTAAACATAATTGACATTCAATAATTGAATGGGTTCAGTCTTAGTAATTTTCCTAACACTACAAGTTGTGGCAGATTTTTATTACATTATTTTAATTTATAATTAGGTAACCTTACATAACACTTTAATCATCAAACAAACAATATTAATGTACTTTTTAGGGTTCCGTACCCGAAGGGTAACCAACGGGACCCTATTACCACAGTAAATATATAGTAGGAACAGTACGGAAACTTCCTACAAACGCTCTAAACGGCACACTCACACAAACATGCGCAACGACGATACTTCTAAGCGCTCGTCGCGGTGCTCTCAGTAGCGAGTGTCGCCTCAAGACTAAAAATGCCACGAACGTATTGCGTAGTATACGGCAGTTTGAACTCGGCTTCATCAAAACCGGAGCTATCTTATTTTAAGCTTCCTGCTGATTTTTAAAGGTAAGAATGATTTTTATTGTCATTGTTATAATCCTTATCGAATTATAAGTCCGTGTGATCGATCATAATGATTTCGTGAACTTATTTCTACATCCAGAATGCGACGGTTTTGAGGCTATTTAAAGCTGATAGTGTAATAGTGGTAACAAAAAGTAAATCCAAGATGGCGGCTGCAACAGGTATCATTTTTTTCGTCATGGGTGCCATTTTCATGGGTTTCGAGGGTGTTGAAGCCTATAGTGCTGTCGAAATATAAATCCAAGATGAAGGCTGCAATAGGTATCATTTTTTCGTCATGGGTGTCATTTTCATAGTTTTTGAGTATGTTGAAGCCGATAGTGCTGGTTGAAATGTAAATTCAAGATGGCGGCTGCAATGGGTATCAATTTTTTCGTCATGGGTGCATCGATCACTAATAAAAAACATGGGTGTCATTTTCATGGTTTTCGAAGGTGTTGAAGCCGATAGTGCTGTCGAAATATAAATCCAAGATGGCGGCTGCAATACGTATCATTTTTTTCGTCATGGGTGCATCAGTCACTAATAAAAAACATGGGTGTCATTTTCATGGTTTCGAGGGTGTTGAAGCCGATAGTACTGTCGAAATGTAAATCCAAGATGGCGGCTTCGATAGATATCCATTTTTTCGTCATGGGTGTCATTTTCATAGTTTTTGAGTATGTTGAACCCGATAGTGCCTATGAAATGTAAATCCAAGATGGTGGCTGCAATAGGTATAAATTTTTTCGTCATGGGTGTCATTTTCATAGTTTTTGAGTATGTTGAAGCCGATAGTGCTGTTGAAATGTAAATCCAAGATGGCGGCTGCAATACGTATCAATTTTTTCGTCATGGGTGTCATTTTCATAGTTTTTGAGTATGTTGAAGCCGATAGTGCTGTTGAAATGTAAATCCAAGATGGCAGCTGCAATACGTATCAATTCTTTCGTCATGGGTGTCATTTTCATGGGTTTCGGGGGTGTTGAAACCGATTTTTCGTTGTTGCTTTAAAAAAGAACACATAAACTGCAAAGTAGCTGATCTAATTTACAAAAAAATAAACAAATCGGTTTCATAGTACCCGTTACTTGTTTCCCAACTGTTTATTTTAAAAAACCTGTTCATTAGAATGATATTTTTTTACACAGTTAAATTCAAAAATAAATAATTCCGAACTTGTCGTAGCAGACGAAAATATTTTTCTGTAAATATTTTATAATAATCTATACAAATAAATAAAATTGAAGTGTCTGTTTGTAGTGTCAAAATAACAGCTTTTTACTAAATGCATATGAAAGTAAATACGGTACTTATAACTAAATAACAATTTTTAAAATTTTTGTCTGCCTGTCCGTCTGTTTGTTCCGGCTAATCTCCGAAACGGCTGGACCGATTTTGACGGCACTTTCACTGGCAGATAGCTGATGTCATAAGGAGTAACTTAGACTACTTTTGTTTTAGAAAAAGAATTAGGCTTCCGTGCTAAAAAATAAAAACCCTAACACGCGAGCGAAGTCGCAGAATAGAATACAATAGAATGATTTTTATTCAATATCGATTAATACATAATACTTATTGAAAGTCATTATTTTATTTACCACTGGTTCGGAAAATACCTCTGTCCTGGGAGGAACCAGCAAGAAACCCAGCAGGACTCTTTTTTTAAACATAATTTCACTTAACAATAATTTTGTTTATACAATTTTAAATGAATTTTCATAGAACCAGCATGGTGGCGATCACTTTATTCCCAGGGGTTATTTTCATTCATGTATTCCTTGATATTATAATAACCTTGTACAGTTTTTCTTTAATAAGACTTTTAAACTTGTTTATTGACAAATTTTGAACATGTTCTGGGATTTTGTTGTAAAAGCGTATACATTGCCCCATAAATGAATTACTAATTCTGTGGAGTCTAGTAACTGGCATTACAAGGTTATGTTTGTTCCTAGTGTTTAAGGTATGAACATCCTTATTCTTATTGAAGCTATTTATGTTTTATGTACATACATTACATTTTCATAAATATATTGCGATGCGAAAGTTAATATGTTTATTTCTTTAAATTTTTCTCTGAGGGACTCTTTACAATTTAGATTATAAATCGCCTGTACGGCTCTCTTTTGCAAAACAAATATAGCTTCAATATCAGTCGCATTACCCCATAGCAAAATTCCATAAGACATTACGCTATGAAAGTAACTAAAATACACTAACCTAGCTGTCTCAACATCTGTAAGACTTCTAATCTTTCTTACAGCATATGCTGCAGAACTAAGTCTGCTTGCTAATTTAGATATATGGGGGCCCCATTGAAGTTTCGTGTCAATAGTAATACCAATAAAAACAGTGGTATCCACAAGACTCAACCCCTCCCCATTTAAGAGCACATTGGTTTTCGAATGTTTTACATTAGGTATTGTAAATTTAATACATTTTGTCTTATTGCCGTTTAAGAGCAAATTGTTGGCGTTAAACCAATGTACTAGTTTCGATAGAGCATTATTTACATCGTCATATTTGACTGCCGTTTCAGTTTGAAAATTAAAGAGGTATCGTCAGCAAATAATACTATGTCGTGATTGTCCCCTACAAGATAAGGTAAGTCATTAATATAGATTAAGAACAGGAATGGGCCAAGAATCGAGCCCTGAGGAACGCCCATTGATACTACCGATCCGGAGGAACATTTACCATTGATGACGACTTTTTGAGTTCTGTTACTTAAATATGAAGTAATAAGTCTAAGCGCCAAATTTTTTACACCGTAATGTTGTAGTTTCCTGATTAATGTCTCATGATGAACACAATCGAAAGCCTTGGAAAGGTCACAGAAAATACCTAAGGCATCTTGTGAATTCTCTCAGGCATTAAAAATATATTTCATAAGCTCAACACCGGCGTCAGACGTCGAGCGACCCCTTGTAAAACCAAACTGATTTTTATGAAGTAATTTATTTGTATTAAAAAAAATTAACAATTGATCCAAAATTAGTTTTTCAAAAATTTTCCTGAGAGTTGGTAGTACAGAAATAGGTCTATAATTAAGCGGGGTCCAATGTACTACCAGAAGAAGCAGGGAACAACTAGTGAAGAATAAAGGTACGTTTTCGTCCAGTTGCGGCTCGCGTACGTTCCCGCCGAAACTTGCAAAAGGTTACGCCGTAATGACAAAGTGAAAGTTCTACAAGTTGTTGTGTGTTAATATTAAATTGTTTTCCGTGTTTAAACTATCGTTTTTTGCTGAGATTACCTATTTAAATTGTATTTGTAAGCTAGTCATTTAAATTCGATTGATTGATTACTACAGAACAAAAATAAAAAAAGCAATATCAAAACATTAAAAGTTACAACCCTATTGCTCCAATGGAGCGTAGGTAATTATATCCACAACTAGGCTTACTTTCCATACTGTTCATATTTATACTGTGCTATTACTAAGCCTCCGCTGTCCGTTCGTCCGTCCGCCTGTCTGTCAGCGCAGTGGGCTGTATCGCATCTCCTAATAGGTAGGCAGTTGATATGTTCACAGAATGTGTATTTCTGATGCCGCTATAACAAAAAAATAATTAAAAATTAAAGGGGGCTCGCCTACTAGAAATGTGGTTTACGATGGTATGGTACCTTTCATGCGCGAGTACAACTCGCGCTTGGCCGGTTATTTCTATAGAAGCACAGCTTTTAATTTAAATTTTTAATTTAGGTTTTATACTTTAACATACATATCGCAGGCCTTCCCCGTGTCTTGCCTACTATAGGGAATATTTGCCATAGGTTGGCGATCGCAGGTTATATTGAATTGTTATCTTAAAAATGCTGTTGCTTAATTCCTCTAACATTTCCCTCTATCGCCTTCTATTATACGTCACCCAAAGGTTGAATATATTCTACATAAAGGTATCGTGTAAGGGATTACACGATTAATATACTACTATGAGGCAATACCTAGTCAGGTCATAAGTATTGTCACACAGTAAAAACTTTTCTTTTAGAATGCTGGCCACAAAAAAGTTTATTGAATTCGAATTTCGAATTGTTCATGAAAATAAAACTGTATACTTTTTAAAATTTTACTTATTTTTAAATATGGAGTGGACGCTTGAAGAAGACCGTGTTGCAGTTATTGCGTTGCATCGTTGCGGTTACGCGCCAATTCAAATATTAGACATACTGAAAAATTTGAATATAACCAAAAGATGCGTTTATCGTACCATCAAACGATACAGGACAAGAAGTGGTCGCCCTCGGTCTGTTAGGACTCCAGCAGTGATAAAAGCTGTGAAGGCGCGAATTCAAAGAAATCCCAAATGTAAGCAGAAACTGTTGGCCCTTCAGATGGGTTTAAGCAGAACCACGTTGAAAAGGGTGTTAAATGAAGACTTAGGGCTTCGGGCATATAGAAGAAAAACAGGACATCGTTTGAATGCTCGTCTAATGGACCTGAGACTGAAGAGATGCCGCGCTTTGTTGAAGCGGTACGCGGGAAAAAAATATCGGGAAATTATTTTTTCGGATGAAAAAATTTTTACCGTAGAAGAGAGCTACAACAAACAAAATGATAAGGTGTATGCACACAGTAGTGAAGAAGCGAGCAACCGTATTCCGCGTGCCAACTAAGTCATTTTCCATCCTCGCTCATGGTATGGTTGGGAGTTTCTTATTGGGGCTTAACAGAGGTACATTTTTGTGAGAAAGGTGTAAAAACGAATGCGGTTGTGTATCAAAATACAGTCCTGACGAACCTTGTGGAACCTGTTTCTCATACCATGTTCAATAACAGGTACTGGGTATTCCAACAAGATTCGGCGCCAGCTCATAGAGCGAAGAGCACACAAGACTAGCTGGCGGCGCGTGAAATCGACTTCATCCGGCACGAAGACTGGCCTCCTCCAGTCCAGATGTGAATCCGTTAGATTACAAGATATGGCAACACTTGGAGGAAAAGGCGTGCTCAAAGCCTCATCTCAATTTGGAGTCACTCAAGACATCCTTGATTAAGACAGCCGCCGATATTGACATGGACCTCGTTCGTGCTGCGATAGACGACTGGCCGCGCAGATTGAAGGCCTGTGTTCAAAATCACGGAGGTCATTTTGATTAAACTTTAGTGTCATAAGAATTTATGTTTTGTTAAGTTCATATTGGTATATAAATGGTTACATAATGAATAAACTTGTTTCAATTATTTTATATTAAACATGTGACAGAATTTATGACCTGACTAGGTATATTATGTAATGTATTTTCATCAAAACTTATTCATTGCTTAGTGACACAATTATAATCTAGCTTGTAATTGTCATCTTGGATATATTTAACTCAAAATTTTCGTTATTGTTTGCAGAGTACATCGAAGAAATGAGGACAGACATTGAAATATTGGTGTGCGGCTCCATAAAGAATTTGACAGCATTCAAGATCCCCGATACTGATGAAAATTGGTGTTGTTTGGTAAGATAGTTTAAACTACTTTCCCATTTTGGAATGCCTAAAGTCTACAATTTTGGAATATCACGAATTGTTAGTTGTTCTTTTGGTCTGCTTGTGATAACATTACCACTGTATTCCAAGTTATTTCTAATATTATCGCGTAGCTGGGCATTACATTTAATGTAATTAGCTTATAACGAGTTACTTCTTTTGTGTTGGCGCGTATACTTATATTTCTATAATAAGTCCGATCCTTTTTTTGCGATGTTAGTGCTGATAGCCAGTTGGCTTTAACAGCTTCATTGGTAACTTTGGTAGTCCTGTGTATTTAATAAAGAACACTTAGAACATTTCATTCTGCGTGCATGATGGTTAGATTGTTTTAGGATTTTTGACATTGTTTTAGGTTCAAATTACTTTCATCCATAGCTTTTGCGTACATTACGAATGTTTCAATGTATGTATTTATTCTGAAATTCTATGTACAATAATTATTCTGAAGTACTGTAAGTAATGCTTGAAAGTTGCTATCTTCCTTTTTACTAAATGACAAGAGATAAATAGATAATTAATACTTAATTTAAATATGTGATAATCAACTATTATAAGGCCGTTAATAAATTACGGTCAACCACTAGTTATCATTAATTGACAAAGAGATCTATTTATACTATTAAACCGGCAATTCAGAAAAAAAATTGTGGGCACAGTTGTGAATCGCGCGAGCGCCGGCTGGGCGGGTAGCTGGCACGATAAATATGCAATGCAGTTGTATTTTTATTTATGACAGGTACTGTTTTAGGCAGATACGAAATAAAGTTACATATTCGTCGGTAATAAACTTCAAATCACGTTGACAAAGTGCGTACATAAATAATGACAGCGTATTCTTAGTGACAAATTTTGGTGTCCGAACGGGAGGGCATGATACACCTGTCGGCCAATATTGGTTGACAGAGAGCTCGAAGGGTTAAACGAAATCAGAATTAAATTGTCACTGACCTCTATTATATAAGTACGCTGGACTGGCTATACACCGTGAGGTATAATGAGCCGAATTTATTTTCGCCATTTTGGCACTGATAGCAGAAGTGAGCGCCTACGGAACTAATAATAGAGATAGGACAATGTGACAAAATATATAATAAATATATATAAAATATATAAGTTAACAATCAATCCTTATGTTTAAACTACTTATGTCTTAGACACAAGCTTTATACCTATGACGTATAAAGTAAAAATATATATATATATAGGTAAAAATATATCCACCTTTTTCTTGGTAACTTACATTTACATTTAACAATAGAATACACTTACTTGTGGAATGTTACCGTTCTGGCAACTAATTTTACAAATCACGTACATTACCATTGTACTTTTTATTATATTACACTAACATGAAATATAACCGAACTACACAACACACTCTTTTTCTTGTTTTGAAACTTTAAAATACTTTTAGACGTTTTGAGCAAAACAACGGCCATTTGCAAATTATGTTAAAAGTTCTTGGTACACTCAATGGCGGCACTTCAAATCGTCACTAACGTATTGTAGGGCATAGCCAGCGTACTAGTAATGGTACATAGAAGTCAGTGTAAATTGTCGAAAAAAATATTAGTGCAGTAATGCCCGGTCTATACAAAGAAGTCTTTGATAACTGACCTTGTTTTAATGGCATTTGGTAAGGTTGGCCAAGCCCTGATGGTAGTATGTTGTGTGTACAGGAGTGGAGCGTGTGCGAAGCGCGCGAACGTGGTGCGGGGCTGGCGCTAGTGCTGGCCAGCGGCGCTGAGCTCGAGCGCTTCATCGCCGCGCTCGAGTGCGCCTACTGCTCGCTCACCGTGAGTACACACATATACACACAGCCAGACACACACACAGACAGGCACACACACAGACAGACACACACACACACACACAGACACACACACACACACACACACACACACACACACACACACACACACACACACACACACACACACACACACACACAAGTAAACTTACAAGAAACTACCATAGAGCAACACGGGCCACCGGTGCAGTTGACCGGAGAGGGGTAGCCATAGCGTCTTTCCCAGGTGCAAAACTGTCTGTGATTTTTTGCGAGGGGAAGTCTGCACAACAAAACAATCGTCTGTCACTACGAAACACACTAAAAAATTTAAACAATAAACTAACAATTTGGTTAACCCATGTGTTTGCGGATGATATCTCTATCTTAGCATCTTGTCGTAACGTAAATAATATAAATGATATACTATATAAAATATTTAAGAATACCAATGGATGAAAGAGCATAACCTAGAAATTAACTACAAAAAAACAAAAATTTTGCCTTTTTACCCTTATCAAAAACCGCCGATTAAAATTAATTTCTCTTACAAAAATACAAAAATCGAGTCAATAAATGAACACACTCTACTCGATTTAATTCTAGATAGCCACATTAACTGGAAATATCAAATTCAGAAAATTCGTAACAAATTGTCTAGTTTTGTATATGCACTAAGTGAAATTAAAAAGACAACTGACCTCCAGACTGCGTTAATTACTTATAATGCCTATGCACAGACGTGGCTAAGGTATGGTATTATACTTTTTTTTTATAGGATCGGGTGACAAACAAGCACACCGTCCACCTGATGGTAAGTGGCTACTGTGACCCATAGACATCTACATCTATCCTCAATAAAGACTCAAGATGCAGATGCGTTGTCACCCGTGAGGACTAAGATGGAATGCTTCTTTGCCAGTAAAAAGGGTCTCCGGTTCGAATACGATACGAAACACAGCAGCGTTAAGCTGCTATTTTACGCTGGTTTTCTGTGAGAGCGTGGTCCTTCCCCGTTCGAGCCGACCCATTCGTGCTACAACCATAATATAGCTGCAGCATGGCTCTACCACGTAGAAATCCTGTGGGGCAAAAGTACAGATGCACCCACCATCTTCATCTTACAAAGTTGTATTTATATATTTGAATTATACAAATTTGTGCGAAAATACCCTAATTTAAAAAGAGAAACTTGCGTCCTCCTCTGTTCTAATTTTCTAATTTGCTTTACCCAACAGGGTCTATATTGTGATAATTTAATTTATTAATTTGTACATTATGGAATGCAAATAAATATTGAGTATTGAATACCATACACATACATACGTACATATATTATAACAGTAACACTCGGTGACAGCGCCAACTCGGATCACTCGCTCGACCAATCTTTTTATTGTATGAGGGTGAGCGGCCTGTGTTGGTAAACAAACCGAAACAACACGACCGTTATTATGGTAATTAAAAATAAAAAAAAATTTAAATTCAAGTTTAAAAAGAAATTACATACCAATAATCTGATAAAAAAAATATTTTAATATGAAAGGTAACGCCATCTTTTTGTAAATTAGACGTGGGAGATCTCTTTTTGCAATAAAAATCTGAACAATCCGGCATTTTTATAGGACGATTATTCTGCCGCGTACACTACACATACTAGTTTTGTTGTACGCCTCGTGGACTTATACTTGACAGAGGGGCACGCCAGCGTGTGGCTACTCCCCTCCGATCCGCCCGTGTTGTTCTATGGAAACTAATCAATGTTATATAAAATTATTACTATACTGTTCAATAATTTAATATTGCATAATGTCTTTACTATTTATTATCTTTCAACGGCTTATCTATTCGTCAAGACTTGATAATCTTTATTTATTGATTATGAGATAATTTGCATATTTGGATTATTGTTTGCAGAGTGAACCATTCCCACTGAGCGTGGTGGATGCATCCAAGTCAGCGTGCAGTATCGCCCATGCCAAGTTTGAAGCCGCCTGGTCACATATGCTGCCCGCTCAACACTAAAACGTAATCCATTATGTATATTGATAATATTGTTATTGTCAAATTGTTAACAGATATTAAATTAGCTATATTTCAAGATGATTTGGTTTGCATTTGGTTGATAATATAATCACGAATTAACGTAATATGAAATTCGTTTTCATAAATATATTTTTGGTGAATCATTTTAAAAAGTACAGAATTTACTTGTATTTTTTTTATAAAATATTACCCAATATTTTAAAATCTCAATGATCTCTCACTCTATATTTAAATTTAAAATATTTGTTTAAAGTTTGACAGTAACAATATATAGCGAGAGCTTAAAACTTGTCCATTTATTTCCATAGGAAGTGACTATTGTATTGAGTTGCTAAAAACTGAAATTTCAGTGCCGCATAAGCATGTCAATGTGAACGGGCACACAACAGATACTTCGCCTTATTGCTACTTTATATATTGCCCTATAATACAAAACTGTATTATCCTACAATGCAATAGTAATTTACGAATTAAGTTAAATAAGCTTTTGTTCCACGAGCATTTATGATGATGGCTTCGGGTTGGGCCATAAGTTGCTATAATTTCGCGGTCGTTAATTTTTTTCGCAAATAATGGCAACATGGCGATTCTAAATATAATTTCAGTTTTAGCTACTTTTTTCTGGCATCTAAACGGCAACTCAGAAAATCAATATTGCTTGTTATCGATAAGTTTATAAAATTGTGGCAATTAAATTGTAAAACCAATACGAATGTCCGCGTCACAGTATCGTTGGCAGCAAATAGACGTCAGTTTAACTATTTCACCAATACTCATTCAATTCTTATAATTTCTCGCATGTTTAGTAATTGTTTAGTCTCTGTTAGACAGAGGCTGAAAGATAAGCACAATTTAGTATAATTTAATTTGATACGTCGCTTCGTTAGAACGGAATCGCACAGGACTTCAAAGAGTCTTGCAAACATGTGCGATAACTATTTACATATAAACAGATTACCAGTACAATGCATAATATACCATTTCGACTTTCGCCTCACGATCAAAAATTATAGTTATTGTTATTTTATTATTTAATAACTGGGGTATACATTATTATATAATATTCTATTATGTCTAAATGCTTAATGCCAAATATTTACTTGAAAAATATACGCGCACGTTAAGAAAAGGGTTGGTGTTGCTGACAACTTCACTATCATTTTTTTTATTTAATTTGTTAAAATAGGTTAGTATACAAATCTATATGATGTATATTGAAAGATTCGGTAGGAATTCTATTTCCAGCCAGTATGCCTATAAAATATTAAATTACTACAAGAGGCAGTACAAAATTGCAGCCAAAAAAATTTGAGAAAATATTATTTCTATAAAATACAAATGTTTAATTGTTGTTATATTTTTCAGTTTATAATAGATATATACAAAAAAAAAACACACACACACACACTCACACCGTAATATAGTGTTATTAGTCTATAACCAAGTCCTCCATTTTGAGATATTTTTATTTGTTAAAAAATAAATATTACAATTATTTTGCACACTGAATCGGACATTAGCGTAATAATATGTATAAAACAATAGCCTCATTTTGTTCCTTTAAGATTGCTATAACTACGTATATAGTCTAAATTGATTTTAAAGGAACTGCAAGTGCTTACACATGTACGGATTCTGCAAGATTTTTTTAAGTATATCATCGATGTGTGCGATTGCGTTCTCGCGCTAGCTTCTTATTATATTTAAGCTCTTATAAATAATGATTCATGTTATTAACTTACGACAGTTATATTGTCCAACTTTCGTGTAGATAGACGATTGTAACATTTCCGTAGCGTTAGAACACAATATCCCATTATAGCCTAATATGTAATAGTTATATATACAGATCCGTGTTATTCTTAATACAAAATGATATTAAATGATACCATACACTGTTTATAAAAAATACGCATTTCTCAGTAATAGTAGGTTTGATTATATATTTGTGTAATTCGCATATCTTTAATCATGTAATATATATTAGGTAATTAACATGATAAATGTTTTAAAGGAAGTAAAAATTATTTACGGTCGGTCTGTCGGTATATTACGATCGCAAAATAAGTGGTCTTCGCTTGATTACCACGCAATATAATAATTCCGTTTTTAGTCGGGATAGAAAAAAATCAAAGAAATAAAAGACGTAGGTATATAGTGAAACAAAATAAAAATAAAATATAGGTAAATATAACACAATGAATATGAATTTTATTAGAACGCTTAACGATATCAGTATATTTAAAAAATAAAATTTCATTCACATGGTACCTACAAAAAATAATAATAATCAATACATTATATCAACTATATTATGGAATACCTTTACGCTTAAGTTGTTCAATATTTGTACGCCTTATATTACAATAGCTTATAATCGTATATATGCATTAATATAAATATGTATTAAAATAAGTTTTATGTGATTTCATGCTTAAGTTACAAGTTGAAAAAAATGATCTCGTCAACATTTAGACTGATAACGACGGATAAGTACTGTTGAACACGTATTATGTCATTCTAAAGTCATAGTTAATAATATGTACCTACGTGATATTATGTATAATCTACAATTTCTATCACAATTCGGAAATAATCATTAAGAATTATCTTGCTATTTTATTCATATTTTTTAATTACATCACGCATACACATTCTGATTCATATTTATATAAAAATAAAGTTGTTTTAAAATAAAATAAAAGTGAGGACAATAACAACGCAGCAAGTTCACTCGAAAGTTTTTACGGAATAAGACTGCTTTGAGTGATTCGTGGCTGGCTTGGCTTGGTGTGATTTATTGCTATGAGATTTTAAAATTAAGTTTTTTATTCGTGAGCCTTTTTTAGCTTTATTGTTTTAAAGCTAATTTTAACGGTTTCCTTTTTTATTCCATGACTAAATTTAGTATGTTGGCTTTTGATAGTGTTGTTAATAAGTTGGTTATGTGTTGCAATATTTGGTAACTGCGTCAAAAAGTATTTTTGTGATAATAATTCCACTATTTCTTGTGAATTTATGTTAAAAGATTAAAACTACATGCATTCCATTTATGAAAATTGAAAAACTAAAAAACCTTGAAACTATTTAGAAAAGTTATCGTTTTGTATCCGTATTTATTTTCTGCCGACTTCCAAAAAGGAGCCGGTACTCAATTCGACTGTATGTTTTTTTTTTCGTTTTTTTTTTATGTGTGTTACCTCAGAACTTTTTTCTGGGTGAACCGATTTCGATGATTCTTTTTTTATTTGAAAGCTGGTACTTCTCGTGTGGTCCCATATGAATTTGATCAAGGTCAGACCAATAGTTTTTAAGTTATTCTTAAATAACTTATATTGAAGTCGGCTGTACAAAATTTTTAATTTTAAATTATTATTTTAATATTAAGTCAAAGAAATGATATAAAACGAATGCATGTAGTATTGGTCTTTGTTAAGGCTGTTGGTTTGTAACGTGTCAAAGTTGAGTTTTGCATACATTCTCCTTTGAACAATTGTTTGTAATGGCTTGTTTTTATAACCAAAAATAAATAAATACCAGTATATCACAGTATATGTGTATTATTGGGCAGATTTAAAAGCCATGTGATATTAATGTATGTTAGGGGTAGGTTAATGTGAATCAAGTGTACCTCAGAAGTTGAAACCTTACGACACAGTTATCAGAATTATTTTAATTGCACAACAAAAAAATTTACTCAATTTTAGTAATTAATAATATTTACTTTTTTTTACTGATTCATAAACTTACTCATTTAATACTGGTTGTATGTATGTACTTAAATGTATAAGTTCTTTATTTTAGGTGCAAATAAACCATTAATTAAACAGTAATTTTGAACTAAACATTATTAAATATTGTTCGCAAGTGACTTCTGAGGCGCTGTCACACAATATAGAGCTAATTATCATTTTACACGAGAACCTATTATGCTTATATCTCAGTGATTTTTTTATTTATTTTAATTTATACTTGAATGAAATTACCTAATGGATTTTAGCCAAAATTATATTTGTAGATATTTTGTGTAATTTATGCAATGTGAGCATTATATAAATTTTATTTGTAATGTTTGATGTCTGTATGTATGTTATGCGCTTGGATAACTTGTTAAAGTTGTCAGTGATTAGTGTTGTTTGTTAAGTTCTTGATTAAGCGTACTCCTGTCGATGTTTTGTAGCTTTTAATGTTAAGTACATTATTCCTGAAAATAGGAGATAATTTAGAACGCTCTAAATTCTGATAGCGTTACATATGTTAATAATCAATTAAATAAATAATAAAATACACACTATGTAATGTTTAAAAATATTTTCAAATACATAGTTTCAAATTAAGACAAAAAAAGCGAATGTCTACAATTATGAATATATAAATAAATACTTTATAAATTATATTACTCAGAAGCTATGATTATGTGTTTCTTGCCAATATTTTAGCATTAAAATTATAATCTCTATCCAATGAAATAACAATTTGCATAATGTCTTGTTTGTGTTTATAGCTCTGTGAAGTATGAAGTATTAATAAGAACAATAATCAATGTTAATAACTTGCAAAATATTTTAGAATAAATATTAAATAATGGCAATAGTACATGATGCATGCATAGATACCAGCAATTTTATTCAATGTACTTACAATTCTTCAATTATATATGTAAAAAAAAATAATTTGTACCATGGGCATGTTGTAGCCGGAATCTGATGCAGTTTTGTATACCTTAAACAATATTTCACATGCATTGTATATTCCAAGTAGATGTTACTTGCGACTGTTTTACGGAGAAATGTACTCGGAAAGTTTCAATAATCAAATATATGAACTTCACAAATGTTGGATTTTTATTACTAGGTCTGATTCCTATACTAGTGTAGACTGTGTGCTTACAACTACTAGATGTAGTTGGAAGCACACACAACAAGGTGAAAATAAACACGATTGCTGATCACGAGGCCCTGGGATTGAATCCTGGCTCGGGCCACAATCAGTCAAGTGATTCGCTTTTTTTTTGTTAAAAGAATTTTCTATCAAGAAATTTTGTGTTTCAACCCAGTGCCGCGAAAAAGCACGTGAAGCCGTTGCTCATGCGGCTGATCTTCCTCCAGTTGTGGTGGATGCCGTCAGATTAGCTTGACGAAATAGGGAATTCATGCATCTGTGCTTGCGCGTACACTGCACTATAGGATTATAGAGCAGTGTACTAGCGTAGTCTGGCTACTCTCCTAGATTTGTTCTTTACGACAACGCTCTCGTTCGTACGTCTCTGTAGGTTGTAATACACACCTTTAAATCTAATTTCATTCTACAGCTATAATATGTAAACAAATACAATATAATGGTTTATTTAATTTTAAATCATATAGATAGATATTTAGATATATTTATGAAGATAAAAATTTCAATATTTAATTCTTATCAGAGATAAGGTTTGTTGTTTCAGATATCTAAGGTTAAAAAATTTGATGAAATCCATCATAGAATAATCATCATGCGATCGAGCATGCGGCTCACCTGATGGTAAGTGACTACCGCCGCTAATAAACAACTGGGCACCTGCCAACACCAGGATAATTGTCGGTGGCTTGACTGAAGTGCACAATTTGGATTTAAACCTGGACTATCCATAGAGAGCGCAATTTTATGTCTTAAGCAGACTGTACAGTACACTACACAGATAGAAAAACGCCGGTGTATGATTGTTTTTTTTTAGATCTATCAAAAACTATCTATCCTCTTAAGATATCTTATGGCGAAAGTTACAGGAGTAGACTGATTTGCCCCAGGAGATTATGTCCATATTTAAATTTTGGTATAATAGCCAAATAAACTGTTCGATGGGGTAACAGCTTCTCTGAGAGGTATGGGCTGGAACTGGAATGCGGGGTTAGACAAGGAGGGTAGAGTTCGTCTATGCTTTTCTATCTATACATAAACCAGGTGATTGTGGAGCTCAGCAGCACTAACCCCCGGCCACACACTCGTTGACTGGCATGAGAAGTAGCGAGGAAAGGAGGCAGAGACGTAGTGTGGCCACAATACTCGTCATGCCGCACGTCATACTCCTTGTCATGCTCATCGATCCCAGTTTAGGCGGTTTTTGGGCGCGAATCAAAGGACTGGCAATATGAGCGCGAGTGGCTGGCCACACACTAGGGATGGGCAAGGGTTAAAATATATCGATATATATATCGAATCGATATTTTTAAACAGTATCGATATATATCGCGTGATAAATATCGATATATCGGCATCATTTGCATAATGTAAAGAAAAGGTCGAAAAGTTTATTATTTATATTACTGCCGGGTGGACGACGAAAAAAAACGCCAACCAACCACACATGAATACTTTTGTACCTCATTTTGTTGTTACATGTTTTG